TCCTCTAGACTCAGTCCTCACAACTTCTCTACAGGCAGATGTTTCTGTCTTGCTAATCCAGAGGATGTAACTCACCCAGGACACGCAGCAGAGCTGGCCTTCAAGCTGGGGCTTGCCTCACCTCAATTGTATTCTTCCCCCAATGCTTGACTGCCTAGCAAGTTTTTCTCCACAGGCCTTAGGCAGTCATGACCACCTTCACTCTCTATTTTTCTTCTTGCAAAATCAGAACACTGAGCTGCATGATCATTCTGTTTAAAAGCTAAACCTTTGTCATCTAATGTTTGTAGTGTCCAGAAAGCTGAAATGTGCTAGAGTCTAAGCTTAAGAAACGTTTGTTCAGTGGCCACTTCCCCAGTTTTGCAACCAATGTCAAGTCAAAACTTGAACTTCCACACATGCCAAACGGTGAATATTGGTGCCTTTGTTATCCGCATGATCCAGAAACCCCACTCCCCTGATTGGCCCCAAGAAACACATAGGGGAGAGCTCTTTAAGCACACCAGGGTTTTCATCCCAGAGAAAATCATACACATGCCAGAAGCACAGTAGTTCCACCAGGATACATACAGACCACTAAAGTGATATCGGAGGGACATACTTCTTAGGAATAATTAGCTGGCTGCAAAATTAATACTTTTAAACATCTGCATAAAAAAAAAACAAAGTTTATAATTCTATTATGTTTCCTTCCCACCCTGTAACATTGTTCACAACCTACAATATATCAAAAATCATGTAGTCAGTTGATAGGGGAAACGTGAAGAAAGGAAAAAGAAAATTAATTAATTATAATAAGAAAAGAAAAGGGCCCCGCATGGACCAAGAATGAGAATGCACTGAGGAACATCATTAACACAAGTCTCTGTGTTTGCCCTTAGAAGGAAGAGAAGAGAGGAAAGGATAAGCAAGGGTAAGGGTACTGGATCCAAATGCATTTGAAACCCATCTCTGGGAGATGGCAATTTACTTAATCTCTCGGATCTTTTTCTCCAGCAAGAATCTATATATTTAAAACCCTAATATGCAAATAGACCAAACAACTGGTCACTATGTCGTGTGCTGACTACCAGGGGCGTGTGCGGAACCTGGTGGGCGTTGGCTGCAGCAGGATGGCGGAGCAGATGAGTGGGGACACCAGATCAGGACAGGGAGCCCGTCGCTGTCATCGGGGCGAGCCTCTGGTGATTACAGAAAATTCTTTGCTGCGGTCCCACCCAGCACTCGCACCTGCTTCTGGCGCCAGAGCCGCCATTTGCACCCACTGCCAGCGCTGGCCCTGCCTGCACCTGCAGCTGGTGCCAGAACTGCCACTCGCACCCATTGCCAGTGCCCGGCGCTGGTCCCGATCGCTTGGCGCAATCAGCGGCCAGCAGCTGCCGGCCCTGATCACCCCTGAGGGCTTCTCCACCTCCCCCTGCTCCTGAGGGGTGATCGGGGCAGCAGCCACCCCTTGCACCTGCTGCTGGCACCAGCCCCAATCACTCCATGCCGTCAGCGGGTGCGAGTGGGGCCGGCGCTATCAGCACGTGGGAGCTGAGGTGGCAGGGATGGGGTTGCTGGCAGAGAAGGGACCAGGGCCGCAGCAGGAGGGGCCAGGGCGGGGGTGCGGACAACGGGCCGAGATCAGCCCCTGTGCCCACTGCAGCCTCACAGCCCAGTTTCTTTGAAGGTGCACAAATTCGTGCACTGGGCCCCCAGTGGAGGAATAAACCTTTGCATCTGCTGTGGCTATTCAGTGACTCAGCCTCTGACAAGCATCTGGCACATGGGCATGAGTCAAGTGCTAGTTCCCTCCTCTCCTCATGCTCCTAGTTCCTGGGTCCCTGCCTGACCCTACCCAGAAAGACTGGGAGCGAAGTCCTCCAGACATCATCTAAGACCAGGGAGTGGGTAGGACTCAATACACACAAATGACATTTGCTGCCACTGAAATGGAGTGACCTCCGAAGGATGCCCCTTTGCTCCAGGCCTTCTGACTGCACTTGAGCAACAAATGGGTTCAATTCAACCTGCATCAAAATCACCTGCGGTAGTTTATACATGCTGATTCCTGGGTGTGGGTCCCAGAAATAAACAGGTTTATTCAATTCTCCAGATGATTTAGGGTACTGTATGAGAACCAATGTTATAGGGTGAGAAGACAAAACAGACTAGAACTACAAAATTTGCAGGTTTAATCGAATCTTGAAAAATACTAGTTTTCAGTTCATTATTAATAAGAAATATGTCCAGATAAAAATGTCACATGGAAAGTAACAATGACCCAAAGTCCCTTATCTGAAATTCTGAGACCCACAAAGCCCTTAAAAAGCCACATAAAAACAATCTCATGTGGACTAAACTGATGAGAAACTAGTTATATTTTTTACATTCCCCACCGAATATGACTATTTCATTGTTGAACTATTAAGGTGTTTGTAACAGAGTGCTGCCCCAGATTTCACTATGGGGTACATGACATGTGCAATAATGCCTTTTCCTAAAGTCTAAAATATTCTGAAATCTAAAATGCATCTGACTGCAAAGATTAGGGTTATGGGATCGTGGCCCTATTCCCGGGAAAGAATAAGCATGTTAATACCCAATTTCTTGTCAACCATCATCTATTCTTGACCATCATCTATTCAGAATTTCTTGTCAACCATCATCTAATCCTGGGTCTTTCCACTCCTTTGGAAGGATCTGGAACCCCACCTATAGAAATATCCACCTGAAGTTGAGCCTTGAGGAGCCTCTGCAGCCCAACCAGCTCACGGTGTGTCGATTCCTGCATTTGGTTTGCACCCCTGTCAGTGATACTTGTTTTATCAGTCTTTTCTGCTGAGTCTCCAGAGAAAAAGTAGCCTAGTAGACTAAGCTTTCCCCCCATTTTCCCAGAGCTGGTCAGCTTTCCTCAGCAGAAAGCTCTTTCTACAAAGCAAACAGAGCCACCCATATCCCTTCACTCTGACCTTGTCAGACCCACAGAGCAATAGTGTCATGTGGGCCAAAGAGCGCCAGGCTGTGAGTCAGTGGACCTGCTCACATCAATCAGCTGTCTCCTGCACACTCCCTACTGGGTATGTGCCCACAACCAATGTACATGCCCTTAACCGGAATCAAACCTGGGACCCTTGAATCCACAGGCCGATGCTCTATCCACTGAGCCAAACCGGTTAGGGCTACCTCTCCATTCTTATAGAAGGTATATCCTGCAAGCTTCAATTTTCACCTCTGTAATAACGCTCCTTATTGTCAGTACTCAGGATTGGTAAACAGGCACGCCAAGCTCCTGATCTGAGAATTACCTAGTGAAAACAATACACATCTGCTCAAAGGAGTCATCTGCATTTTTAAAGGGTACAACACCCCCCAAGCAGAAGCCAGGCTAAGAGAAATCAATGCCCAGGGAAGGAAGCAGACTTTATCTTAATTCAAGGCAGGGATAGAAATCTACCTTTTTCCTGCTACTCTATACAAGCTCAGCCCTTTATACTATCTGGCACAGGACACTCAAAAATGTATATTGAATGAATAAATTAGTATCATGTCAATTCTGTCTTGAACACATCAAGGCCATTATAGTCCCATCTTTTCTTCCTTTAATTCTTCTTTCATACAAGTTTTTGTTGTTTTCCTCAGATCTGATCCTGGCCCACTGTTTCTTAAAAATTGCCATTGAGTCTCTAATGTCACTTTTCAGAGAAGTTCTGCTTCTCTAGTTTCATCTTTCATAAACTGTCCACATGAGCCTGAACTTTGAACAGGCCCTCGTACTCACTTCTGTACCTTTCCAATCCCATTCATTCCCTATACACATCTTATGAAATCTCACACTAAGAACCCTCAAATGTCATTTCCTCTCTGACTTCCTGACTCCATAGCAAGAATTACTACCTTACTGTTCCCATAGTATTTTAAACATAATTCTTTTAGAGATTTTAATTATATTTCAGTTGTTCACTTCCATTTCAGACTAAGAATTCCTTACAGCAAAGAAGTTATCTTTAATACCAAACTATTATAATAATGCTCAGTACTTATATTACTTAATAGTACTTTAATAGGTTCTCCAAAAAGCCTAAGTCCAATTTCCAACAATAGACAATTTTAGTTGCAATGCAAGTTAAATCTACCTCTCTACCCTAAATTGGAACTCCAATCACAGCCATTTCCCCTAGGAAATATGTTCTGAGTAACAGACTCTCTCCTAAGAGAAACACCTCATATACTTAATTTTGCATTTCATTTCAGAATGTTCATGGACCACAATAATCAAATTCCACCTCCCCAACAATAGCTGGAAATTGAGTTTCTCTCCTCACAAAATAGGAACTGGTACAACAGAAAGAATTCAGGCTGTGAAGATAGAAAATCATTAATACTGGCTCCTATACTTAGCTTAAGGCTCAATTTTCCCATTTTAAAACTGTGAATACATATCTACTTTGCTGGTTTGTTTGCTTTGTTACAAAATAAAACATCTAGCACAATATGGACACAAATATGTCTTTTTAATTACATGTCACTCAACAGTCACTGAAGTTTCCCTGCCACGATTTCACAAGAATGAGATAATACAGTTATCACTTGCCACTTGAAAAACAAACGGAAAAGTAGAATTCGTAATTCAAATATTTGCAACATGGAGACTGTACTTAAAAGTAAAATCTAAATTTTTGTTGTTGTTAATCCTCACCCAAGGATATTTTGTTCATCGATTTTGAGAGAGTGGAAGGGAGGGGGAGAGACAGAGAAACATCAATGTGAGAGAGATACATCGATTGGTTGCCTCCCACATGAGGACTGAGACCAGAATCAAACCCAAGATCCTTCAGTCCACGGGCCACTGCTCTATCCACTGAGCAAAACCAGCTATGGCTAAAATCTGAATTCTTTTTAAATGTTTAATATATTTTTTCAATTTGTTCAAATTAGTATTTTACCTTAAATGTCCTGGGTTTAGTGTGATTGTTGGCTATCTTTCTTTTCAAAAAGATATATCAATAGATCCATGGGACTTGAGAGATCAGTATTTATTTTAAAAAAGAAAAACAGGAAAAACAAAGACAAGATTTACTTTATTCCATATTAATGTATTCTTTGTAAACATACCCACAGACTGCATCTGACATATAGCAATCAGTAAGTTTCTTTTCATTAATGGCTATAACTTTAGAACCTGAAATTAACTATACACTAGTATCTCCCAGCCTGAACCTACTATAAATTGATAAACCAATAAAAAACAAGCTTCAGTTTCCTCCAGATGTTTAATGCAAGATGCAGTGTAGCCATATTCCATGAAATGTGACTACCAGTAGGGAGGTTTGTAGCCCTACTGAATCAAACAAATAAAAGCACTGTGATACAGCTAAAAGCCTTACACAGATGTTCTGTTCTTAATCACTATAGATAAGGTTGTCTCTTGTGCTTTCTCTACTTTAGGAAGTTGTATACTTTATAGATGAGAAACAAATCAACTCTACTGGTTTGAATTCTAAGTTATTCTTTTTACTAAAGACCTTTTGTTTTTCCAAGTAAGATGGGAAGACCCAGCTGTTGGTATAAATAACTTATTTCTGTGACAATATTGAAAGGATATCACAATATTCAGTGTCAGTTCTGTAATCTTTTGGTAAGGGAGTGGCTAGAGGTTCTTTGCTCTCAGTAAGTGCTCTGGGCTGATGGATAAACACACTAAATTTAACACCCTGGTTGTTGGCAGCTCTGACAAAACCACTATTGGCAGTCATTGTGATGGCTTTTAGGGTGTCTCCTGTCCCAAAAATCGTTAATGAACGACTATTGATTTTTGAACTGGCCACTAGTCGCAAGGCACGTTCAGAAGGCTGGTCTGGCACTACATTAATTCGCTTAATTAGCACAGTGGCCCTCTCTCTCTCCCCAGGTCCTCCTAAAGCATCTAGAATAGACTGAAAATCCTTGACAGCAGATTCACAAGCAAACAGTTCCTTGTCCTTCATAAATGCCTCCAGCTGCGGTAGAACCTGCTCTTTCCTCTCTTGCTCTGCTTGTTCTGTTAGTACTTTTTCTCTGAAGATAAAGTGGCAACCTCCATAGCTGAGGGCAGATACATATGTGATTAAAGTAGTAATGTCCAGATTTACTCTTTTGCACACATCGACCTTAATCTCTGTTGGAAACGCAACACTTGCTAGTATATTTTCCCGGTCTACTCTGGTCACCTGGAAACACTCAGGGCCCTCTTCATCGGAGTCACTCTCACTCAGCTGGAGCTCTTCAGGGTGATCGAACAGAGAGTTCACTGCCACTATGTCTCCTCGCACAGATATGCCCATTTCTTTCAGCTTCTCCGCCATGGGGCTGGAGACACTGTTGTAAAATGCAAAGATGATGTGAGGGTTGCTATATTGCACTGGCTGCTGGTGGCTGGCCTGAAGGAAGTCTTCAGCTTGCTCAATGATGCTTTTGTCACCATACTGGCCCCGGCCCAGCCAAATATTATGCAGAGCTTCAGCCTTCCGGCCAATGGCTTTCACCCAAGTATGACCACCGTTTGCAACAACATCCACCACAAGGGTCTGCTTTTCTCCCAAGGTATCTGTGTAACCAAAAACATGAAGAACACTAACAACGTCTTCCAGGTTTTCTGCTGATTCCACTATGGCTCTCAGGTGTGTTAAATTGGTGCTCTGTAAATGGGATTCCTTAATAGCTACTTTACCAGCTTCTACTTTCTGTAAAAATTTTAATTCGGCCTTCAATTTGCTGCACAGCTTGGCACCGCCTTCAACACCACCTTTTCTTGATCTAGAAAGTGATTCCGCCCTCTTGATCAGTTCCTTGGCTATGGCAATTCGTTCACAAAGCATGGAGTGTGCAGACATGCTGACAGCATTATCCCTTTCCTATGAAAAGAAAAGAAACAAGGCGCATTGAACGTCTTCACAGATTGTGGCGATTAATTCTTCACTGAGGATCATAAAACTTCAACCTAGCAACAAAGCTTATGGAGGCGGAGTCTAGGGGCCTGAGCTTCTGCATGTCTGATTTTGGAGAGACTCCCTTCTCTGACCGCTAAGGAAAGAATAACAGCTGTACTTCCGAGCTCTTCCCTAGGCGGGTTGGATTCTTAAAAACTTCACTTTCATTTCTTCAGCTTGAAGTTATGGGTCCACACCCTGCCCCAGGTCAGGATTAAACGCGGGAGTTGGGCAATCTGCTATGTAAGAAACTCCCTATCAGCAGCCTTACTCTGGTTGTAGATAAATTTTAATAAAAGCTCAAAAGCCAAAGTAAACCGATTAAAGTAAAAAATATCCACACCGATATTAGCAAGTTATCCAAAGCAAGGCTCTCTCCCCTAAACCGACCACACTCGGGCTCTCTGGCCTTTCCTCCTCCGTGAGCGGGTCTTCCTGACCAGTGACGACCCGGGGCACACAGTACACGCGCCGGGGAGTCAAGACCGCCTCGCTCCTGCCCTTAACGTCAACCAGCACATCTGAAAAGACGGAAGGAGCCCAGTAACTTGGCTTCCTCTCCGACTCCCACCACCAACGAAACTCCATGGGCACAGGGCTCAGCCCGCGGCGGCGCGGCGGCCGGGGCGGCGCC